CTTACAAAGACAAATCCACCGATAATAAATCAGAATTATTCTCATATCTAGCTCCCTTATAATATCAATTAGATCAATAATATCTCACTCAATAATCATATCAATCCCCTCTGCAAGAAATATAGTGTCCATGCTATACTATATTAACCTATCTATGCTTAATTAAGTCGTCCTATCGTATCTAAGTTCGAATTCAATCTTGATTTATTCGGATCTTCCCTTCCCTCTCTCTCCCTCTCTATCTCTTCTTCTACCTATCAATATCCCCTCCACTACCTATAATAAGAAAATACATCTTCCATCTTTTCTCTTCTATATTCTTTCTCCTCTCATTTCTTCCCTGCTCTCTCTCGCAACCAAAAACTCTTGCGTATATGCTCTCTCTCTCTCTATCTCGCTCTCTCTTTCTCTCTCCATCCCTCTATCCCAATTCCTTATAATATCAACAATACCAACAACGACAACAATCCCAACACCAACAACAAAAAGAAGAACAATAAAATCAAGATCAATAAGAAGAATACCTGTTCCCAACCGATTTTCCCTCTTCATAATATCAACCACCGCCGCCACCAACGAGAAGAATAAAAATTCGAGATCCATCCACGTTGAATTTATCGCTGAAAACTCCCAGCACGCCGAAATTGAGAGAGATATCTGCAAGGATCATCGAATTTACCCATAAAGGTCTCTTTTTCCAACAACCCTCCTTAAACGGCCTTAGTTTATTCGTATTTCCAGTTGAAATAAAGAGAACCCGCAGATTCCCCAGATCCAACCTGACCAAATATAAATGATAAACCATAGAAACAAAATATTATCAGAAATTCAAATCCCCAAGACGCCAAAATTGATAGAATCCTATAATCCACGAAATTCGTCGAATTTATAAGAATAATATTCCCTGATCCAGCAACCATAACTCAAAAAAATTGGGTCTTCCGTATTTTTGAATTAGGTTGTTGTTATGATTATTATTATTGTTATTGTTATTGTTGTTGCTGTTGTTGTTGGTATTGTTAGCTCCAACGTTGACGTCAACGCGCGGAAACCGATATGCCATCACGCCTTTCGCATCGGTGTAACCGACGATACTTCGTGCATTCGTGAGTTGCTACTAACTCCGACATTAATGTAAACGCGCGAAGACCGATATGCCGTTTGTATAGATTTTTAGAACATATCCTATATTCGAAGTGCCTCGAAGCGCCTTTCATATCGACGCGACTGATATTTCGTATATACGTGAAGAGCGCGAAAGAGAATATGCCATGAATCTTACTTTCAGCTTCGACTTCAGCTACAACTTTATCGATTCATACATTAGTATTATGAGCAGGATTTGAGCTCGACTCAACATTGCACTTAGTGATTGACATTCTCCCAAAACATTTCAACTACTGGCCTGAAGCTGTACGCACAGCGCCTAGCATACTCTTCGAACGCGAAACCGCATCAAACCTCTCTGCATGGCACACAGCACCTGCAAAGGAAACATGTGAGCTTTGCGAACCGCTTGTGCAAAGCTGAAAGCGCGAAAAAAGGAGCAGCTCCTCCCAAGCACCTTTTCCTGGCCCACTGCAGCCCCGCTCTGCACACTGCCCGTGAATTTAAAATCAGATGCATGCAGCGGCGGCCCCATCTTCGCATCAACAGCAGGCTGAGGGTGTCTCTACTACAGAACCTGATGCTGATGCCTTGGTCGCTATTCGATCTACTGGTTGCGACTAGTCATAAGTTGAGGGCGTCTCCGCTGAATGATGCTCCCCTCTGCCTATCTAGGCAGTTTCTGTCTCCGCCTGCATCACCTGCTTCAGACAGATGGCAACTGCAGCTTCGATCATCGGGTTGTGGCGGACAGTGGAGAAACCCCATAACATAATTTCCACGTCCCGGCAGCCTAGGCCATACTAACGACTCGGCATCATGTTATGCTTGCACATCTCTGCTAGCTTCCTGTCTTCTGCTTCAGGGATGCTGGATTTCAGGCTTTTGACCCCGGACTGGCATCGCACTGCCTTCAAGTCCACTCCTTTCTGAGCCCATCGCAACCTGCAAGTTGCTGCGACCCGCAAACCCTCAGAGCCACACCTGGCGGATGCCGCGGACAAAGTGGGTGATCGTGGCCCCATCGTCCTGGGGGAGCGCCTGGCTATGAGATCTGCCAGGTCTTCTTATCTTCTTACAATTTGCTGTTATTAATATTGTGATTATTACTGCTATTATTTCAAAAGCTTCCACAGCAACTTTATCCTGCTTGCCCCTCCTGAGGGCCCACACAGATCGGAACTCGCTGTAAACGTTACGGCAAATGCTCAGGTTGCAAAGCCAGGCTGGACCTGTGTCATCAGCATGGCCAAGATGGGGCGCCCATGATTGGGATCGTACTTAAACCTCAACAGATGCAAGCTCAAACGTCGCGAAAGACATCGGCACTCAGGGTATCGGACTGCATCCAACATGCCTAGCAGGTCTGGCCTTGTAACCAGCGTGAAGTGAGTTTCCTACGAGGGGACTTCTGGGAACCCAGCGCACAGCTTGCCGCGCCGCCCCACTGCCGGACCCCCTCCACCCCGTCGAACCTTAGAATGATTCTGCGGACGCCCGAAAGAAGCGAGGATACAGGTGAAGTTGTCTAGTATTTGTGACCAACTTACTACAGCTTTGGCATGGAAACTCTTTGCAAACACTTGCAGACATACCAAATTATGCAACCTGTACAAGTCAGCCGAGCACTTCCCTACATCTGGCGGGCGCGCCATTGGTCCTTGGGCGCACCCCGACCTAAGTAAGAAGTGAGCTAATATAGGGGCCTTAAAAATTACTCATAGAATAGGGTTTTGGGTCCCATTATACTGTAATTGCAATAAGGAGCCCCAAAAGAGTAGAGGTAATTATTGCAACTATTGAGGCCCCTATATTACCGTCGAAAAGCACGCAAACAGGAAGCTGAGCTCCCTGCGCTGCACTTCCCCAATGCAGCTCAGGCCAAGCCCAAGGCTGTCGTAGGGCCGGGCACCTAGACTCAGACAGTGCATCATGACACTGAGCGGACTCCAAAAGCGAAAGGAAAAGCAAGGAATCTTCATCCATGCCAGGATGGTTCCCATGCGCACGCAGTGCACTAAAGTTGGAAAGTTTCCTTGATGCTTCATACCAAGAATGGCCCAGTCATCACACAGGGGACTGTTCCGGTAGCTCCGCACCGGCAAATCGTTCAGGGAAACTTGAGGCATGGACTGCTTGGGGGACCGCGGCCGCCGGGTGAGCGGAGCTGGTCGATGAGGTCCTCGGACTGATGAAGGCCGGCTGCTCCGCAAAGCGTATGTAGAAGGCAAGCACGGCTGAGTTTCGACCATATGCCAGGCCCACTGCCACGGTTGGTTTGCTCCAAGCACACTGTACATCAACACCGTGGAACAAAATGACGCTGCAAGCCCCTGCACTTATCATACTTATCTGCATACATGGGAATTTCCGAAAATAGGGGACCCTGATATAGTACCCTAAATGGTAGGATCCTTACTATAAGGACCCCAGAATAAGGCACCCCTAATTTTCGGAAACTCCCACATAGCCCGAACTGCGACCGCGCAGCTGTCATCATCAACTCAGCGGACGCTTTGCTCAGGATTCGCACCTTGAGAAAGGGGAGCAAATGCTACGCACAAAGACCTGAACAGAAAGGGGCTTAAAACCCCCCCCCCACCCCCAGTGCATCAGCCTCGTGTCGCTTGGCCAGACACCCTCCAACGCGACGGCTTCGCTTGCGATGCCAGTTCCGGAAAGCAGCAGTACGGGGGCCCTTCTCGTACTGCTTGAAATCCCTTTTGGGACTGGCCGTTTGCCGCATCGGCAGCTTATGTTCTGCGGTGAGGAGACCAACATACCCAAGATGGCCCAAGACATCAGCTACGATAGTCAAGCATCTCGACTAAGCGCGTCACTCCTGAGATGGGGTGCTGCCCGCCGTGGATGACTGCCAGCAGAAACTTAGCCTTGCTTGGTGGGCGGCGAGAGAGCAAGACGAGGACTCGGAACAAAACACCATGAGAACATACGAGCTTACTGTGAGGTGGCTTCTGGAAACTGTTGACTTGCCGTACTATCGGCCGAGCTGGAAAGGGCCGCAGCGACGTTGCTATTGCGGCCGGAGCAGCGTAGTCGTCCAGCGTGCTCAACCTTCGCAAAACACCACAAGCCGCAGGCTGTGAGAGAAGCCCTGCAGTGCTTTTCAAACGAGCGCTCAGGTTCTTGCAAGCCCCCTTCCAGGCTGGAGAGACCTGCACGAAACCACAGACGGCGTTCTGAAGTTTCTGTGGCTATGCTTCCTTTCAGGTGTCTCTTATCATCTTGGCCTCCACCAGCTGACGGTAGGCAACAACGGCCCAGCCAGCGACTTTTCATGCCTACCACCAAACCGCTTCACCGTTGCCGGCAGTCTCAGCCATAATGTCATAAAGCGCAGGTTGCCTCGCTTTGGAGGGTCGACGCGGACCAGCCGAAAGTTTGTTCCAGTTCCCCCCCAGCGCGAGGACTTTGTGTACCTCGGGCCATCAAAAACGCAGCAAGCAGTTGGCAAAGGCCTTGATGCTTCCATCCTCGAGGCCTAGGAAGCTTAGAGCGCGACCTGTACAGCACGCTGAGCCTCCGAGCTTTGGAAGTTGTCAAGCTGAAGCCGGTGTCGCCTTCGCGGGCTGCAGTCCGTTCTGTACAGATTTTAGTTCAAGGCAGTTCACAACCCAAAAGACCCATGAAAGGGACCCCAAGGACCCCTGAGCCCCACAAGACTAGGCCGAGAGGCTCATGCCCAAGGGCCCCAAGATGTGGTCGCGCAGGTAGGTCTCCAGCTGCTTGCCTCAAGAGTTCACAAGGACGGTGGCAGTGTGCCGGTCTTTATTCTGCCCAGATAAGAGCAGGATGCAGAAACAGTGTAGCATGATGTGAGGGGTTCATGGGTCGGTGTCCGAGACCATTTGTTGAGACCAGGAACCGGATTTAGTAGCAGGTTCAATCCTCGTGATCTGGGCTGCAAGCCGGATTTCAGCTCAATCAAATGTCCGAGCACATCGTAGCCTCGGTAGGGCAGTTTTAGTTTAGTAGCTTCTGCTCTGTCCTCGCCTGGAACTCTGTAACTCTATCTTGGGTAGTCGCTGTAGCCATAGCCATAGTGCTGGCCTGACAGAAGCTGTTGCAATATCTTGGAACGTTCAGGGTCATCATCCTGCACTAAAGTAGGGCAATCATCGCTTCTGATCAGAGCTCGCATGGAGAAACCCGGCCTTTACTCAGACTCATGCCCGGCCTGGATGACTGACCAGCGGGACGTTGGCCAGTTCCTGCACCTGAGTTTTTTTTGGGAGCTGGAGCTCACAGGCTTTCTGGCAAGGGATCACCATCTTCCGCAGCACAGGCGCCCAATCAGCCAGACACTTGAATTCATTGCGATCCACACCTTGGAATACCACGGCAGGAAGGCAGTGAATCCAAGAGTTAAAGAACATTAACTCTTGAGTTTATTGGCCGGCATCGGGCCGCCTTGGACCCCTTCAGGCCCGCACAATTTACTTATGATTTAATTTGGCCCTGAACGTTGCGCGACGCTCCATTCCACGCCTGTCCTGCTCCAACACGGCACAATTAAATCATGATTTAATGTTGTATCCCGCTAGTGTGGCGATCTACTTATCTAGGCTAAAATTCGTTGGACCGTGATTGTAACACCAACTACATTACTGGTGGCTAGCAAGGAGGACGCCAAAGTCCGCAATTAAATCATGATTTAATGTGGTATCCCGCTAGTGTGGCGATCTACTTATCTAGGCTAAAATTCCTTGGACCGTGATAGTAACCCCAACTACATTACTGGAGGTTACCAAGGAGGACGAATTCGGCAACTAGATCATGATTTCACGTGGATTCCCGCTAGTGTGGTGATCGACTTATTTAGGTTATACGTCTTTGGACCGTGATAGGAACCAACTACACTACTGGTGGTTGCCCAGAAGGACGCCAAATTCCGCAATTAAATCATGATTTAATGTGGTATCCCGCGAGCGTATGGCACACAAGTCTCTGGTAGAATATACTGGCACACAGGGAGACAGTAAACTCATGATTTAATTGTATATTAGAGAAATGCATACCGACACAATTACAACCTGATTTAATTGTGTCTTTGGAAGGTCCAAGGTCTGTCAAAACCGAACAATTAAATCAAGATTTAATTTTATTTAACTTCTGGATTCATTGGTTTTCACCACGGCAGCTTGAGTCTCCATACATTAGTGCAAACAGCATCAGCAGCTGCAACACACGGTCGCGAAAACAGCACAATCTAAGGTTAAGGCGGTCTACGAGGGGCGTGTAAATGTTGGCCTCAGCTTGCAGACGGTGGCGAGATATGGCGAGCCTTCCCGAAAGCCTGTACTGTGCGCTGCGTCAGAACCGCAGTGGATAACTTCATTTTTCGCTGAGTTTGGCGGCCCACGCTCGTTCGCGGGCACTCCTGGCTGGTCAGGAAGTGCGAGAAACTGGAACAGCTTCCCCTCATGTCGGAGTAACGGAGTCCTGATCCTAGGTCCGTCGAGCACTGGGGCCAGGCCGCAGGAGATCCCGGAGGTGTGGGTTAGCCTCGGAGCCGAGAGAAAGGACTGAGACGGAGTGCCATTTCTGGGTCGCAACTCGTCGTCTCTCTTGGGATGCTGCAGGTGCCGGATGGTGATGGGCCGCCTGCTTGGCACCAGCCTGCTGAAGTCTGGCCTTGTTGACAGCGGGGTGGAAAAATCGTTTGGCGTGGCATGGCGTGGCTACTGGCCGAAGACTTCTTATTCTGCGCAGAAAGGGCCACGGCATACCGTCGGATCGTTCGGCAAGAACCTTGGACATGTGCATAGCTTGCGGCCTGTGGTTCTGTGGCAGTGACCTGAAAGTTGGCCAGGCACCTTGGGGTTCTCGAATGCCGGGATGTGCTTGGAGAGCTCATCATCCAGAGTCAGGTGCCCTTCCTGCATTGCCAACGCAAGTTGAGCAAAAAATCACGGTGCTAAACGCTTTCGCAGGTATCTTGGAACGGAAATGCGAATGCGAAACTGACTCAACATGTGGAGGCCACACCGGGATGCGGTGCATGTTGCAACCCTTTCCCGATCCATGCAAATAGAAAGAACCTACACTCTAGTGGCGAAGCTTGGGATCTCGACCTCAGCGAGCTGCAGCACAGCAGCAGCCACGACGCACTTTGACATCGAATAGATCTGGGCGACCAGAATGCGAGCGTCACTGAAACTGACTTGTGCCGATGCTAGAGCAGGCCAGCAGGACCGTCTTCAAGCAAGTTGACAACTAAGCAGCACTGAATCCTTTTCTTGTGACTCGTTATGGCACTCAGCTCAAGGGGACGCGGGTGACTAATTCAGGGCCAGAGACGAGCGTCTGGAAGCCGTGCTTTACCCTGCCACGGATGGCTGCGTTTTCTCGTCGCAGTCTTTCCACCTGCGACTCCAGCTCCTCACGCTCCATGCCCAGTTCGGACTGCCATTGCAATCTCAGTGCTTCCTGTGCTCGGAGGAGCTGCGATGCTCTTTGCTCTTCGTCTTGAGCTCTGGACTGCAGGGCTTTCATTTGGCGTGTGAGGCGCCGGAAGTCGGCCTCAGCCTGACGCTTTGCTTGCTCCACCTCGTTGTTTGCTTTGAGCCGCGCCTCCTGGAGTTCAAGCTGGGCTTTCGAAAGGCCTTCCTCTGCAGCCAGGGCTCGAGAGGAAGTTAGCTGCAGCTCCGACTGCACCTGGCTCAGCCGTTGTTCAACGGCCTGGAGCTGGGACTGAAGGCTGGCCTGGTCCGCAGCAGCCCTTGCAAGGCTCTCTTTTGCATCCTTTGCGGAAGCATCATGGCTGCTCCGCAGCTTCGCGAGTTGCTGCGTTACTTCTGCCAGCTGCTGCTCGAGCTTTCGGCGGCCTTCCTGAGAGTTCTGGTAGTCACTCTGCAGACGCTCGTGTTCGTCCTTGTAGGCGGCACTTTGTCTCTCTAATGCAGATGCCTGCCATTCCTGCTGCTTCTCGAGCTTCTCGGCCTTTGCCGTGGCCTCCGAGGATGTCTGCTCACTGTTCCGAAGCTTCTTCCGCAGGTCTTCAAGCATCTTCTGCTGAGAGCTCTTCAACGTCTGAAGCTCCTGCTCCTTCTCGCGCTTGATGGCGCTGATCTCTTCCCGCAAACGAGCCTCCAAGCGCTCGGCCTGCTTTCTGCTGGCCTCTTCCGTGCTTTTCAGCCGGTCCTTCTCGATCTGAAGCTCCATCAATCGTGCCTCGCGGTCCTTGAGCTGCGCGACCTTGTCCTGTTGAAGGGCGCTCGAATCTATAGCCCCGGCAGCAAGTTTCCCACTAGAAAGACCAAATCCGACAGCCGCCAGCCGTCCTCGTGTGCCTGGCGGATGTCAACCAGCTGCCGATCCATGGTGTCGGCCTGGTCACCGTCGCAATGGAGGCAAACAGCAACGTGCTATGCTGTATTTTCCAAACAGGAGAGTATGTTGGCGCACCCGATGTGCATCATGACTGCAAAAACACATAAAGGGTGCTAAGGCATCGGCAGTCTGCAAGAGTTGCTGAGCCTCCTGCTTGGTGGCTTCGAGCTCCTTCCAGCAGCAGTTTCTTCAACTGTTAGCAGTTAGCACATAGCAGCGTTTTATAAACGAGGCTGTCAAGGTCCTTCCGTGTCAGGTGCAGCTCCTCTGCCCTCTCGTCCAGGCCGTTCCGTGCTTCCAGCGCCTGGCGGCGATACTCGCCTTCACGCTTCTGCGTTCGGGCGAGGTCGGCTTTTAGCCGCTCTTCCTCGTCCAGTGCCAAAGCACATCTCTCCTGAAAGGACTTCTGATTGATTTCATTGGTTTGGGTCTGTACCTCGAGCTCATGCCTCAAGGACTCCATCTCTGCCTCCAGAGCATCCCTGCGACTGACTTGATCGACAAGCTCTGCTGTGACCTCTTCCAAGCGCTGCTCGGCAACAGCCCGTTGATGGGCCAAGGCTTCTCCCCTTTGCACCTCCTCCGCCAAGGCATTCGTGTTCTCGCTAGCTTTCACATAAACCTCCTGGGCTTGCTGCCGTCCTGCTGCAAGTGTCTGTTGCATCCGTTCAAGCTGCAGCTTTAGCAGCTGATTTTGTTGAGCCAAAGCCTCGTTTTGCTCTACGCTGAGCCGGTACAACTCCTGGAGCTCTTCGTGTTGATCATCCACGAGTCCGGCTTCTCCAGGAGCCCCGCCGCCACTGTAGCCCAGCAGCTGCAGATTGCGTAGCTGCTCGGTGCGCTCGTGCAGCTCAGCACGCAGCTGATCGTTCTCCTGGGCCAAAAGCTGCGCCTGCTCGGCGATGCTCACGGACCTCTCGATAACGGCCTCCAGCTCGGAGATGCGCTCCTCGTAAGCGAAGAGCAGGGGCGACATCATCTGCATGTTCGTGACCCAGGGCGGCAAGGGAATGTCATCCTCAGGTCCGGCCTCTGGCAGAGGACGCTTGCTGTTCTGCTGATACCGCCGCAATTCGCGGGTCACACGCTCTGCATAGTCCTTCAACTCTCGCTTCTCTTGCGTCAAGCGGATGAACTGCTCCTGCAGCTCCGGTGCAGTCGCCGGTGGCAGTTCCACAGGCTCGCGGGACTCTCGGGCTTCCGTTTCTCGGGGCAGTGCTTGCCGCTGTTGCAGGAGACGCCGCATCTCATCCAGATTGCGCTGGCCGGTGACGGGCTCCACAGCACGCTCCGCATGGCCTCGATCGGCATCAGGCTGCAGCATCGCAGTGAAAGCCCTGCAGCTGCAAATTACGTGCACCTACTGGTCTCTCCCTAGCATCTGATACTTGTAGCATGTGGCATCTGCACGACTGGAACAGTGCTGGCGTGGCTTGCTCCTTGCTCCTTAAGGTTCAGGTGTACTGGATATAACTGGCTTTAAAATTCAAGAACGTGGGCATCCATGTGCTACGAACAGCAAAGCTACATCCAAAGCGGCCAGCCGGCAAGACGTGGAAGCGATGGTCCTCTGACGAAGACTGACATCGTCAGATGTAGTGCCAGTGCTGCTGCTTGCAGGCCCAACAAAGATTGCTCAAGTGGCACTGCTTAAAGATCACAGCGTTGTTGCAGCGTTGCGCAGAGCATGAAGACATGGCGGAGAGCAAAACAAAAAGCGATTTCAGCACAGTAGCGGAAATTTGCGACCCTGTACAGTCCTTCAAAGCCCTTCGCAGGAGACCGATAGCCCTAGTGTCAGCCGACGCCCTGGAGCGCCATTCAGTTTCGAGCCCACGCAAATTACACGTATCACGCATGAGCAGATTTCAGCAGGTGTATGCTGAGCGCACTGCCCTGACGATGGACTTGCGATTCATGGGGATCTTTGCCTCCACATCAGCCTCAGACGCTGAAAGATTCCTCGATCCTAGAGTCTCGATTCCTAGATACCAGTCGTGTTTACAACAAGTTAGCATGGAGGGCTCGTTTTCTATCGCCTGCTACACCAGTTATACGCACACTAACTAACGGAGCAGAATGTCCCATACAAGAGACTGAAACTGAGCCCTGCTGGCCAGCACCTACCAGTAGCTGCTTGCATATCCTCATGTCCTATCATACTTCCGCGCTCGATCGGCTCACTCAAATGACACAGATCCTTGTCTCTAGGGCCAAGATCACACCAAGATCCCATGGCAAACTAGATGCTTTCCGAGGCTGCCAAGGCCCTGGCGTAGCCTCTCTCTTCGATCATCTGCAGCCGACCTGCGCTGGAAAGGCTTGACATTTTTTGAGAGAAGCAAATCACCTGGCTGCCTGCCTCCAGAGCAGCACTTTGCATGCGTGATATGCACGTGCGCATGCCATGATACAATTCTGAAGGCTTGGACAAATACAAAGTCGAGAAGTTTGCAGGTGACGAAAGTACATCCCCGCTCCTCCACACCTGCATTTAAAAAGCACACCTGCAGAAGGTTGTTTTCTCTGTTTAGTTTGGGCAAGGCTATGCTTTTTTGCTTTTTCGGTGCCTTAGTCCTGCCCTTGTCTCTGCCATTGAGTTCCGATTTTCCGTGTTTGCCGCAAGTCTTGCTCTCCGTGGGGTCGACCGGCTTTGTCTCTCTGTGTTGGCATGTGCGCATCATCTTCGGCAACATCTGCGCCTCCGATGATTGCGCAGGCTGCAATGCCAGGCCATTGGCCTCCGAAAGCAGCCACAATCTTGAGGAAGCTAGCAAGCAGCCTAGCACTGTAGGGGCCGTGATTATTATCTATACTGTCTACGGGGTTCCTTATCATAGTTATAGTATCATACATATATATATATATATATATATGTATGTATGTATGTATATAGATACACACATATAGGTGTGTATATATATATATATATATATATATATATATATATATATATAATATACACACACACACACCCCAAACCATCCCGAACCCCTCATAGAGCTAGGAAGGCCCCCATGCCTTTGTCCACCCGGCTCCGCAGCTGCTTCCGCAGGCGCTCCCAGCCACCGCCCGGGGAAGTGGCCTGAGACTTCCGAGAACTCGAGGTCCCAGACATGGGAGTTTCCGAAATTAGGGGGCCCCAATATAGTACCCTAATAAAGTACCCTAAACAGTAGGATCCTTTTTGTCAGGACCCCAAAATGAGGTACCCCTAATTTCCGGAAACTCCCACATGACTGTCCGGGCTGAGACGGTTTGCTTCGACTGCTGTCGAAGAATGAAGAACAGCTTTCCATGCTAAGTACTCACCTTCTGAAGTGTCAGTGCAAGAAGCTGAATGAGCGTTGACTCGCGGAGGATATGATTTGCTGTTCTATCGTGCTAGCATTGCATGCCTTTGTCCTGACTCTGTTCGGCTGTGTGTATCAGAGCATTGCATTCCATGCTCTCCGTGTCGCCTCCGGCAGGCGGGAATCCGGCATAAGCTTGCCGACGCTTAGGAAGTGCTTTGAAACTTGCAAAAAGCACAGTGTTGCCACGCGAACGAGCCACTGGGCGGCCTCTGAGGCTCCCTGAGAGTCCCGCGACAGGCAGCGGCAAGCCACCGAGGCCTTTGTGACCCGAAAATCGGCTCACGGCTGCCATGGCTTCACGTGTGGCTTGCAGGGCTTAACCCACGCATTGACGCCGAGTGCGCATGAGCGCGCTGCTCGCAGACCTGCGGGCAGCCTTCAATTCTGGCTGCTTCCGGCCTTCGCGCTTCGACCTGATCAAAGAAAACCAGCGATCTCACAGAACTCAGAAACATACGGAAAGACGCAGAAACAGCCTGGAATATCCGCGATGGTTTCTGACCCTGATCAATTCAGATCTGCTGCCTGCGGAGCACCATGCTGTGTACCAGCGGAAGGTGGTTGCAGCTTGGGGACGTCCTTTTCTCGTCATGTACATGCTTGTCTGATGCGTAACAGGTATGGAGGATTTGCCAGCCATTTTTGCCCATGTTCATGTCATGATTGAGGCAGCATGGGCCTGGAGCCAAGCTGTACAGAAGCCAATCTTTGTCTCACAGGAGATTTAATCAAGGCTTTCAGTCTTCCAGAAGGTTGACAGCAAGGCTTACTCCGACTCTTGTCGACACGCCATTTTGAGGCCTCTGCGGGTCTCAGCAGGGACTTTGCCCATTTGGGGTCCGCCGAGAACTCTGAGCAGCTCTACGACAAAGCTCTCCTCCATTTCTCCGCATGATGCTGTCCAGAAGCCGAGCTCACATGGGCGGCAGAATTCTCCGGCATGTGGGGCACTCCATCTTCACGTCCATCCACCTGCGAACGACTATCAGACGGCCGAAGTCTGATAACAACGTCGGTGGTAAGTTGCCGAAGCTCCTAGCTTCGCGCGGATTTCGCGAACTGCATGCATGCCGGCAGGATGCACTGAAGATTCACGCAATCCTCCGGGGCTGGGACGACAAACGGAACACGTTGTCATGACCAATGCAACACCGCCTGTTGATAGATAAGGGGAAATAGTGAGAGAGAGAGCGAGCTAGAGAGACAAAGACAGGCGGGGAGAGCGACAAGTGTGCATCTGCACAGAGGCATGTGCAAGACCCTGGAGTGCTGAAGGCAACCCTTGTAAAGAATCGAATCCAACAGAGGTGCGGAACACTGCAGGCTGCAGGGCTTAGAGTTGCTTTCTACGCCCTGTGTCACATTTTGGAATCGATTTCCGGCCTCTCCAGGCACGAGTCATGGAAGCGGTGGTCGCATGGTGTGGTGACAATGTGAGATCCATCCTGCAGCGGACACAGGAGGAGGAATGATGGCTCCATGTCCATTTCTGAAGATGTAACCTGACATTGGTCTAGTTCCAGCATGTAGCACTCCATAGCATTCGCAAGTAGTCGCTAGCGATAGATGGTCCCCGCTGAACTTCTGAACCGCTCGAATACACAAAACCTAAAGCTGGGAGCTGCCTCGGGAGTGATTTCCAGCATGCAGATGACGCACTCGGTACCCACATCGGCCTGGTGCAGCAGATGCATTCAAGATTGTTTCATGCATGTCGCACAATGCACGAGGTTATTCTTTGTTCAATATCGTGACTAGCCTACGCCGCTTTGACAAGCCTTGATGTGAAGAACTAGTCCACTCAGGTCAATCTGACCGTCTCAGAGCACGGCCTGCGCAGTCCGACGGTAGTTGTACACATGAGGGAGGCAAAGCCATGGCACGAACCACCTGCAGGAGACACCACAGGTCTTCGCAAAAAGGTCCCTCGCTTCCCGGCACCAGCTTGTTCGGACAGCTGCTGCCGTCTCTAGCGGTGCCTTGGCCCGAGCCGCTGCTGTGACAGCATCACTGCCACCTCGCGATAAGTTGGAAGCTAGAGTTGAGCTCCACTTTTTTCAACAAACGCAGTTTCAGCAGGGCCTGCGCGGTCTGGAGGCAAACCGCAGCTGCACAAAGCTGAAACCTTCAGCGTACTCTTCGAGTGAGCTTATCGCACTTGCTAGATTGTTTTTGGAGCACCGTCGAATGCCACACGTACGTCTCTTGGACTGGGGATGCAGACGATTGTGTCCCAGGTAGCTGAGGGTAGATGTCACCGTTGAAAAGGCCTTGCGACGGATACGTGGCTTCTCTCAGCCGGTAATGCAAGCACTATTCCCGGCCTGCGGGACATCCCCAAAGGTAGAGGAACTCCAAAGTGCGAGTTACCTCGATTGTGCCAAGCCACGAAACGAACAAAACAAAAACACAGTGTTCCTCGCGCGGCAGTTGCGTGTAATTTGTCTTCAAACTGCCAACCAGCGTGGCATCTTGGGGAAAGAGCTGAAGTTACCCCGACTCTAATCTCTTCCCCAGGCAGCGACTGATTGTCGGAGCCTGGGCTCTGCGACGCCCTGCTCCTGCTTAGGTTTCCCTAGCAATCGGCTGGCCCTTCAGCCACTCGCCCTCCCCCCTTCACCACCACACTTGCTGCATCGGACCGCCGGGGGGTCGTGCGGTGATGAATCAAACTTCTGGGCGTCGGTCACAGTATGGTATCTGAACGCTCTCCGTCTTGCTTCACCACTCGCCACAAGTCTCTGGCCGCGATTGTGATGATGAACCGTCGCCTGGGCGTATTTCTAGCGTTTCAGCTGAAACCGCGGCTCTATGCTTGCTCACTTCGACAACATGTATTTCACAGAAAGAAATTGCTGAACATGCCTTCGAACTCGTTGAGCTGAGTCGCGTGAAGGAGTTCTTGGAGCCATGCCTCACCTGTCAGGCATCATGAAACTTTCTTATCCTCCTCTTCGTGCAACTGAAC